TCAACTCTTAAATTTGCTTAATCCTTTTTCAATCAGGCCAACAATACTCTAATATAATTTATTCTTTGCCGTTAATTACTGACCATTTCCTTTTCCTTGAATAAACTCCTTGGAGAAGGTCTCACCACCCAACTTCCCAAGCGACCTACATTTGCATACAGAGCTCTGTTCCCAACACTTTTCTGCTTCTCACTAGAGCAGTTTTATCTTGGGATATTGTGTGCGGACGTGGTGCTGGATCTTTTAAGTCGGTGTTTCTCAACCTTGGGAACTTTAAGATGTGTGGACTTCAATTTCTGTTTACTGGACTTTGTTGCAACAGACTTCACGTGGAACGGACCAATTTTTTTGGACCATTTATATCATCTGCATAATGATGTCATTACCCAATGATGTAGATTGATGCAAATGATGTCATTTGTATCACGGATAATAGCATCATTATAGAAATGATACAAATCAGTGTGGGTAGGTATTGGACCTCTTAATGGACAGTGTTTAATAATGGCAACTTCCTCCCTCCAGTTAGTCCATTAATATGAGATTTCACTGTATTAATAAAATAGTACACATAGGTTGCTCTTACCTAATAGCTGATCCAGGCCCCTGAAAGACTTGACTGCATTTCCTCAACAAGTTAAGTCTGCTTAGTTTTAAACTTGGTTCATTCTTTTGTAGCTTAATGTGATCCGTGAACTTAGCCTGTTTGGCTAATTAATGGTTCAATGTATTGTGTGAATCCAGAAAACAGGTTCATTCTATAACCTGGTTCTGTGTTTCATGTCTTAAATTAGTTGGGTAATTTGGTGCACTTCCCTTCTTATATTTTGATTTAGTTTGCCGGACTGCCTCTTTTGGCTAGCACAACTGGGTCACAATGGGCCGCTTCATCCTATCTTTTTCACCTTCACCTTCTACTATAGTGGGTAAAGCAAGAGGAGCCACCCTCAGACCTTACATAATGCCACCCCCGTTTTTCTGAAGGTCCCCCAGATGGTACCACCAAAACAACAATTTTCAGCTGCCTGTTTTCACTTCATTTTACTTAAAAACAACAAAAGGCAACCAAATCAGAGAGGCAAAGCCTCTGGCAGGCTGAATGTGCCAACTTCTGAGTTGTTCAGAAAACCCTCGAAAGGGGTTCATCCCTTCTCCTTCATCCCTGCTCCTTCCAACGACATCAGCACATCTCCGCCATGCCTTCTGCAGTTGCCAAGAAGCAATAAACGAAACACAACCCCTAGCTGCAAAAAGGCCACTCTGCTCTGCTCTGCCCTCCCCATCCCACCCCCACCATAAAGGCACAGCAACGTTGGCATCTTTGGAATGACTCTGCCCTCACCGGAGGCATCTTGGTATCTCCCTCCAGGAAGAAGGAGAGTCTTCCAAGCTGCCCCAGTTCCCTTGATCTCAACCTCATTAGCTGCTTGGAAACACACAACACACCCTCCCCGCCCACAAACTGCCTCTCTGCCAGCTCCCGAAATCCCATCCTCCCCCCTCCTGACACACATTGATGTCCACCCAGCACGTGCCAATTTTAAGCGGGGTTGCCCTTAATTGTCCTGCTTGGGGGAGGGGGCAACTGCTTATGGCAATGAATCATTTCAAAACGGGCCCAGGCGGAGGGGAGATATTGCACCTGCCTCTCCCGTGACCTTTGCTCCCTAGCTGCCAATCACCATCATGGCAAGTTGCCAGGGAAACTGAGACATCTCCCTCCCCCCCCGCCCTTTCCATCCAGAGTACATGGATGGCCTTGGAGGAGTAATTATCTATATTCGCCTCTCTGCCTTTGTTATGGGGCAAGGCGTTGGGGGCAGGTTCTATTCACTGGAGGGGACGGAAACAAAAAAGAGGCTCTTCAGAGTCCCTGAGTGTGCTTGTGTGTGTGTGTGAGAGAGAGAGAGAGAGTGTGCACCATGAGAGAGAAAAACAGATCCCCACAAGCTCCATCATGAATCTGATGCTGGAGAGACTTAGCATCTTCTTGGCAACTGCTTATTTAAGTGATACCTCAAGGGTCTCTCTAAACATGTTTCCAAAACAGATTGTACCCATTAAAGAACTGCATTGTATAAAAAGAACACAGTGTTAAGCCACAAGATATGGGAAAACTGAAAGCACCACCGTTTTTCAGGAAGCTGCTGAAAGGATGGGGACCAGCAGACACCCTGATGGAGAACGTTCTGGGCATAAAGGTGGAAGAGCTCTACTGGGTCCACCTGAACATCTGTCAGGCTAGAGGTGCATAACATGGGAAATCAGAGCAA